TTTTGGGACATGAATGGGAGATCAAGCACCGTGTTCGGTTTCCCATTTCCAAAGTTTGGCAAAAACCTTGGGCCGTCAGCGTCTTCCCCGAAGACACACGCCTGCTCTGGGTGCCTCCTTGACTTGTGGCCTGAACATGTGGAACAGGCAAAATGTGCCTGTGCTTCTGGCCGGATCCGTCGCGGCACTGCCGCAACACGTTGGCAACACATCTGTAGATGGGGGAACAAGCGGCGTTGCCTCCTTTTGTGGTCATGGTAGCTCTTAAGGGGGGTTCTGATTATGCTTTCGAATACCTGGGATTCTCCTGCATTTCCACCATGACCAAAAAAGGAGGGAGCGTCGTCTGACTTTATTGATTGCATGTTGGAAATTTGATATACCTTATCTATTTCGAATACTGTATTAATACTTTGGATGATGATATTTGTCGAGTGCTTTTTGGGAATAGCTGGATACTAATATGAACGGTACTTGTGTGTACTCAAGTCTGTTTATTTTGTATCAGCTTTCCGCGTGCGCATTATCTGTTTGTATCCAGCTATTGGCCCAAAAAGCGCGAGTTCATTTCCAACATGCATCATGTGGTGTTTTTGAAGCCCACCCTCCCACCCTGTGTGGGCAATAGCTCGTAGCGTGCAGTTCCCACGTCCGTGGAAGGCATAGAGTAGCGTGCAGTTCCCACAGCAGTGGAAGGCGTAGCATGCAGTTCCCACAGCAGTGGATGGCATAGTGCTTGTAGGCTCTGCGTAGTTGCACTCAAGCGTGAGGCTTGACTAAAGCATAGTTGTTCCCTCCAGCTTCAAACTTGGTTTCCTTGTCCTTTGAGCCTTTGCTTTATTCTCTTTCAAAGCCGGGGGGGTTCTGATTATGCTTTCAGATACCTGGGATTCTTCTGCATTTCCACCATGACCAAAAAAGGAGGGAGCGTCGTCTGACTTGATTGATTGCATGTTGGAAATTTGATATACCTTATCTATTTCGAATACTGTATTAATACTTTGGATGATGATATTTGTCGAGTGCTTTTTGGGAATAGCTGGATATTAATGCCAGGGCCGCAAGAGTGCTACGGATTTGGATCAGAACAGCCCCGCAAGAAAGGAAAGGGCAAGGGTGGCAAGCCCTCAGGCTACAAAGTCGGATGACTGGCCCGACAATTGGGTCACAGCGCTTCGGGGCAAGCAGCTGTGCAGGCGCTACAGCAGAGGATTCTGTACCAATCCAAATTGCAAATTCCTGCACCTGTGTGCTGTGAAGGGCTGCCACAAAGAGCACCCAGCCTGCAAGCGTGGCAAGTCCCACACCTGCGACTGGTGGCCTCCTGGTCACACGCCCACTCGGTAGCCTCAGGGAAAAGAATGTGTGGGCGGATGAGCTCAGCAGAGACAAGCTGGATAGGTTTCGCTCCAAGCCCTTAGCCCGCTTCCGCTTCACGCTTAGCCAGCTATGCCAGCCAGAAGGCATCGCCCTCCCACGCTAGGTGAAGGGAAAATTTTGTAGAGGCCGCGACCTAAGACAGCTCGCCTGCGCGCCCGCAAAACAGTGACCCTGGCTTGCCAGCTTTGTTGCGCAGCAGCCCTAGCTTTGCAGGCAGCCGCGGCAATCAGCCTTGCCTTACTTTGCGCTTGCCCAGGTCGTTCACAGCAGCGCCGTGAACACTGCCTGCCTTCAGCCAGAGTTGCCTTGCCCGCCTGGCAGGTCCCTTTGGAGTAGAACGAAAGGGGATCCGGGCTTGAGCCCTGAGCCTTTCAAGCCTTCCTTTGCGCAACACTCAGAGCAACCCGGAGAAAAAGGAGAAGAGCCTTCTGCTTTCTTGTAGTGGTAAGTTTTGAGGCTAGGAGCAGTGCAAGCCCACAGAACGCTAAGAGTTTCCTTTTTCTTTTTTGTGTTTTGTGGGTACTTGTGAATCTCATACATGTCCGCTGCCACTACTGCTCCTAGGCCAAGACTGGTAGCCCACTACAAGCCCTTTACGTAGATCGCTTTCTACTTCACAAATCTTTTCTCCCGCCCTCCCAAACCCTACTCGTTGTACTGACAAGCCTTAGGCCTTGCCGCCCAGGTTCAGAAGATGCCGCGAGCCTACGTGCCTTTTTCAGCTTAGTGCTTTTGGTTTCACACACGCCTTGTTTCAGCCCGCAGGCAAAAGGCTGTCTCAGGCACCCTAGCCGTCCAGGTTGGCACCTGCTGGTGTCTACCGAAGCCCGATGGCTTTCCTAGGCCCGCGGAGCCTTTCAGCCCTCGCAAGGGCCCAACCTTCTTACACACTTGCACTGACTCAAGCCTAGCCTGCTCAAGCTGGCCTGAGCCCGCTGAGTTCAGTTCTTGCCTTAGTTTCACAAAGCCTGAACTCTGAGTTCAGCCCAGAAGCCTCTGGTTCTTACACTTTTCACAGGGGGGTAGAACGAAAGGGGATTCGGGCTTGAGCCCTGAGCCTTTCAAGCCCTCCTTTGCGCAACACTCAGAGCATCCCAGAGAAAAAGGAGAAGAGCCTTCTGCTTTTTTGTAGTGGTAAGTTTTGAGGCTAGGAGCAGTGCAAGCCCACAGAACAGAGGGTGCGGGATGTTCCGCTTCACCTTGATGTGCCCTTGAGATGTAGTTATGTGATTGCATACGCTCAGAAGCCCATTGCTTCCTTCGTGGCATTTCGTGGCAAAACAAAGCAAGTCCGCAGCTTACTTTAAGTAAGTTTATGAATACTGAAGATATTCAGATCAGATTTGAATATTTTGATTATGTTGGATTTTTTCATATGATGCCCGTTTTCCCCTGAAGAAGGCAAAATACGACATCACTGTATCTGCAAACATTGCACTTTGTTCTTAAATCGAAAACTGTTGTTTTGCAAGTTTGGAATATTCAACAAGATTCTTGTGCACGTGACATTTCTTGGTGTTCGCAGCATCTCAAGTGTGGGCGTCGCCCTTCAGTTTTCGAGTCCACCTTCCCAACCTTTGAGTATGAGGGGGGTATGAGGGGGTGATGTGCGAGCGCTGGCTGGCCTTAGAATGGCCGAGAGGAAATGTCGTGCTGGTGTTGGCCCCTGGTGTGACCTGCGCTTTGTGTCTTGACCGCTGGTCGGTGCGTTGAGCATTAACGGTTCAGAGATCAACTTGTACAGCCCATATTATTTGAGAAATGATATGGGAAACCATGAACGCCCACATTTGCTTGCGTGGTTTTTGATTTAGGCAATAACAGAAAAAGACTTAAATTTTTCGTTCAGCTACAGCTGGATGCGTCACCTCTGCATTTGGGGAGGTTTTCCTTTGTAAACAAGCCGAGTCGCCAAACACGATCTATTGAAAAAGATGGTATCAGGGAATGGCAACGCTGGACATGCCGAATTGCACAGAAGATTCCTCGTTAGGCTGCAGGCTAAGGTTAGTCTGCTGTGCTTTTTGCCAACTTTTATTCCTTATTGGAATGCCAAAACATTGCAAGCCTTGAACAACCCAGGTCCTTTCACTAATATCGTTTGACGCTATCTGCCCCAAGCATCTCGGACCTATGAAAGTGAAAGCCCCCATGCTTATGTTCATTGACAGAACATACGTGGGTGGCAAAGCTACCTGGGGTATCATGGGGGTGCTGTCATCCTGGATACAGCGCAGGAGCTGCAGTCGTCCAACGCGGAAAAGGTTCCTAAGCAAAGAACAGGTCATTCGCTAAGTCAAATCATATGCCGTGTGTGTGTGTGTGTGACGCATGCTTGCAGCGAGTTGTTGCACAATCCTCTGCAGCATGCAGCTCGTTGGTCTGCAATAAAGACCACGTGGGTCTCAGCCTCCATGTTGGCCGTAGCCCAAGCCTTGAAGTTCTACCTTGCAGAAGTTGACAGGTCTTTTTGTACGCCAGCAACATCGTTGATTGGCCATCAAAAGATGACCACGACAAAACTACACGAACCTTCAACGGGGTCTCCTTGCATGATCTTGCCCGCGAGGACTCCTGGTTTCCGTCCTGAGGGGATCCCATCTCAGCTTTGCAACATTGCTTCCAGACTTCTGGTGCCCCCCCCTCCGAAAAGGGAAAGTGCGTCAGCTGCATCTATGTGAGCGCTCATGAACATGAGAGGAATCGGCAGGCTTCCTGAAGTCTAACACTTTTCTTGAAGGCTTTTGCATGAAAGCGAATAGGGGCATTTCCTTTGCCAAACTTGGGTATGTGAATTTGAAGTGCGTTGTATAGGCTTTATCTCCAGAGTCTCATCCAGCTTTTTCCCACCGGGCCCGCCCGAAAGGGAGCGAATGCTCATGAGTCTAAAAATTGGGGTTCCTCGTTTTCATGACCCCCGGGTTGGGTTTCCTGTGCTCCTTGGTTTCGGTTCCGTGAATCTAATGTTGAAATTAATCCTGTAACGAACGAACAAGATGGAATGGTCCGAAATAATAATTGGGACTTGAACTTTCGAATTGCCTTGCATGTTGTGTCTGTTTCCGTAGCAACATGATGCGGAAATTGAAGTTGATGGGCAACATCATGGATTTCACCATGATTTTTCCGAGTCCAGGTGTGTACTTAGCACTTACAAAATGGGCGTGCTCCGTTCCCAAAAGTTTTCTTGCCCATGGGCCAAGTTGATGGGAACATGTTCATGGAGCCACTTCAAGCTGCAGTGTTTTTGCAGGGTTGGCAGTCAAATGGGCAACACAAAAGTTTGAACCATTTTGAACCTAAATGTGCAACGAACAAATCAAGCAAGTCAGACGTCTGCTTGCTACCTGTTGCTTGCCCCAAACAAGTCCAAACTCTTTGATTCTTCAGAATCCAGAATCACGTGCCGGCGCTTTGTCTTATAGATGCGCAAGATGCTGGAAGTATCGTCAGGTTTGCACCATCCATTTGCCCTCTTCTACAGCAATTCTTTTTTGCCAACGGTGCAGGATTCATTCAATGCAACTAGAATAATCCTATGGAAGACACCATGTGGCGGGGTTGCAATGTGATGGCTTTCGACAATCCACGTGCGACTGCGTGGCGGGGACGTGTTGGGAATGCACACAACCACGGCCTTCGTTAAGGCTGTGAAGGACAGATAATGGTACGCTGCTTCTTTACCATATCGCTTTCCGTACTTCTGCTTGGAAAGCAGGAGTCTGCCGATTGCTTGAAGAAGAACGTAGCTCGTCGCTTAGAAGTCTTAATTATTGGCACCAAGAAGCATGTGATATGTCAATATATCTCAACACGGAAAGCATCATAAAAGCATTGAGGCGCTCATATACGAAAGAGATCCCTTCGGTAGCGACAGTCACATCCTCGAGCTGTAAACCGGACTCATTCAGAATGTCCTGAGCGATGTTGGCTGAGGTGATTCTGATCATGATGCCGCCAATACGGATGTCCAAGCTGTCCAGCCAAACAACGGGTGCGAGCCTATGACATTTTGCTTTTATTGATTTTGTTGTCGTTGTCGCGGAAGGGGCTGTCTCTCTCTTTGTTTTGGAGTACATGGAGGATGTTGCCATGCAGTTGCAGGAAAGAAACCCCAGCACCTGTCCTCAAGGCTGGCCTTATGAAGTTTTGGTCTAGGAGGCGTGTGTGGTTCAGTATCGCTTGTCAATCCAACACCGCTGCCAAATGCAGGAAGCAGTCGTGCATGAAGCGCGGAAGGCGGTTTTGGACGTGAAAGATTGCAAGATTGCACTGTGAGGAGATTTGTGTAATTTCGCATCGGGGCAGGTCGTGGTCCAGGAAGAGGCTGAAGAAGATGCACGCAGTTGTACCTCAGCACACGGGATCTCACGCAAGCATGCCTCTACTAGCTAGCCTTATGAAGGTGATGATCAGAACCAGGGTGCAACAGCCATTGGCGAGAATCGTTTTCTGACCTTCGACATCGATGACCTGTTGACCGGTGCAGACCTCAGACTGCAACATCAAGAGGGCGTGCTGACATTTTTTTGATGTGCCGAGAAAACACGGCAGACTTCAACTTGGACTTGTGCAAAGTCCAGGCAAGCTGTCAGGCTCCCGATGAGAAGAATTCTTGTCCTGGTCTTGTTCGAGGTATCCAGGCTTCTGTCCAAGGTCCGTGTGGCAGAGCGTGTGGAAGCGGCCAAGGCCCAGCGAGCATAGTATGCTGTGGGCTGCAAGCTTTGAAAACAACACAAATCTTGAAAATCAAAAGCTGCATGATGCCGAAACTCGCGGAAAGATGGGACTCAGCTCCAGTGTCCACAATGCAGTTTCGTTGTGCAGACTCTCTCAGGCAGAAACATGCGCGTTAAATGCTCTTCTGGTCAGGACATGGAGCAGTGGATGAGTGTGTTGGAAACATCGAACGCAGAGTCGGAGGTGATGTTGACAGAAACTGAGGTGCCCTCCCCGGCATGCTTGTTGCTGGACTTGATCGCGGTCTATCAGATTGCTTATTAGGCTGCAACGGATGCTTCGCAGCATGGGCTGGAGGAGCGACGCATTCCTCTCAGATCTTCTCAGATCAGATTTGTAGAAGCGCAGCATGGGATCTTCTGTGCTGGAAGCGAAGCGAAGCCAGGTCAAGACATTGCCACACTGGTGGGTCAAAGCAGCATCAAGACCTCAGAGTTTTGCCCCCAAGCTGTTTCAAGGCATTCTCTCAAGCTAGATGGCAATGATCTGCAGGTTGCTGAAGGGCTTCATGCAAAAGGCACACTTTCACGTCACCTGCAGCGATGCTTGCCGCGTGACGTGCTGCCTGTAGTTCAGAAGATTTCTTCAGCCAGGACCCTTTTTCCCATCCTCGCTCTTTGAGATCAAGTTTCATGATTCTAGAAGCGGATGAGAGTCTGGCATACTGTGATTCATGTTGTATGGTGTCCCTATAGACAGGTTTCGCAGTACCGCCTGGACACGCTGGACATGCTCAGGGCAGCGACCTAATTTTTGGACAGTTTCATGTTTCACAGATTCTACAGGCTTGCAGATGCCATTCACCATGATAGGCCAGATATGCAAAGTCTGCCTATGATGAATTCTGGGATGGTTTGCGGGATGCTCAGGAAGCTGTAGAGAGCTGGAGTCTTGTTGTGAAGTATACAGTTTTCCAGCTTTTTTTGACAATTTCCATGCACATCCAGCCAGGGCAGGCAAACATTAAATCCTACAGACGTCGCCGGGACATGCTTGCTTTACAAGGTCTCCTCGGACGACCTGATGATCATTTTGGTTTGTCTTGTCTTTGCCAAGTTAGGGTAAAAGTTAGGGTTAGGGTGAAGGCTTAGATTCTTGTGTGCCAGTCACGAACCATCGTCTCGCCCCTGAGCTGTCCAACACGAGCGGGCGATGTTGGGCAACGCTGCTATTCTTTGCTGGGTCTCCGAGCCCCCCCCCCCGCTGCAGCCTTTGGACGGCACTGAGTTGCAGAGTTTTGGTCAGCTGCTGGGATTTGGCTTCTTGCAGTGATCTACCCAAATTTTTGATGACCCAGATCCTTGGACAAGTTTCCGGAATGGCGCCTTCAATTTTTTTTATCTAGTCCCAACCCGGCGTCGCGGAGAGCAAACCAAACAGCGGTTGCCAGGCCAAGGCCAGGATTACCTGAGAACACGCGTGTTGGCAGCCATGATTTGGGGAGCCTTTCCCGGCACTTGGCAAACAAACCCTTTCATTACCCACTCACTCCTGAGCCAGTGGTGGCAGGTCTCTCCTCGCAGCTGTTGTTTTGGTCTTGGGGAAGCCTTGCGCCAGCCATGAAAACGACGTGTGGATCAAGTATTGCGGGATTTTCTCACAGGGAGCAAAAGCACGTGCTTGTCGTGCTTGTTCATGATGCTCAGGCGATGCCCAGGTGCTCTGTTCGTTTTATCGGCATTTTTTGGCAATCTGTACGGCCTCCTGATATCGTAGTTGCTTATGGTGCTTGACAGGCGTGTGCCAATTAGTTTTACGTCGCAAACAGACGTGTGACTTGAACGCAGCATCTTTGTGATGGCAACGTGAGGCTCACATTATGCTTCAGGGCTTGGTGGTGCTCGAAGTTCATGTGGTGAGAGCTGGGGCAGCAAAGCCGAGCTACTTGTTTGCGTGCGGTCATCCAGATGCGCAACCGCGTTCCCCGCGTTGCCGCAACTTGGCTCACACCAGACAACCAGCTAAAAAGAAGAGGCAGAGGTTACAAAGCTGCTGACCGCTGCAACCTTGCTGTTTCGTGCGGGAGATGGGCAGCCGCGAGAGTGCTAAGCCGCTAGCTTTGTCCCCCTGCTCGTGCGCTGCTGGGCTCGCTCGTCGGTATTGCAGCCGCGCCGGTGCAGTCGATGTTGAACGATGTTGCTATTGAGTGCTGAGACCGCTTCCTGACTTTGCATGTGCCTAGCCGTGCAAAACGGCCATCAAGCAAGAGTCATGTGACGCTCAAGCTGAAATGGAACGCCCATAAAAGCCAGACCAAAAGGCAGCTTCACTTGACAGTAGCCTCGTCAGCTTCATTCAAGCAAAGCTGAACAATTGTCAAGCGAGCCTTTTCGGAACCAGCTGGCCGCCAGTTCGCCATTCCGCGCTCTATGCTGCTGGACTAGGTCGGCACCTGAACGGCGTGCTCGACGCGCTTGGGAGCCGCACGGGGTTCGAGCGCCCACCGCTTTCAGCATCATCGGCCAAACATTGCACTGCGGCTGGCATTGCTGCTTTCCGGTACATGTACAGCAAACTGGTTGCACAGTCGCCTCGAGGTAGCTGCCATGGGCCATGTCGAACAAAAACAGGAGCGGGCAAACGCAACGTTGAACTCCATTGCGGACTCCGGCGGCGCAGGCTTCACACAGCTTGGAGCATATGTGTCAGATGCCCGGTGCATCCTGCTCAGTTGACAGCTTCCCGGCACGCGTTGCGGGGGCTTTCGGCCCTCGATGGCCGTTTCTGCGCCAGTGAACCGACCAATCAAAGTGCCAGGCTGGACCATGTGCCTGGTGAGGCCCGCGAAAAGGCAGTCTCGCGTTGAGGCCCCATCCCGAATTCATGCGAACGCTTGCAGGTGGCCTGAGCCAACTTCCACCAATTTTGCAAACGTGCCTGGGACCTTGGGATTTCATCCAACAGGTGCAAAAGTCCGCGGAAGAAATCTTGACAGGAGTTTGAACACTATAGGCGGGATTACATGTATTCGTGGGAACAACAACAGGGATAGCAACAAAAACAGCTGGCAAAGGCATTCCGTATCATTCCGGCCAAGTGTAATCTGTTGGAAGCTCGATGCGCCCACGAGCATGGCAAGGCGATGGAATCAGCCGAGAAGACACGAATGACACAGGTTTGCTTGTGTTTCAAAACTTTTATTCCATGGCAAAAGGGGTTTAACCAAGCTTACCCAAAACAGCTGCTCCGGAGGCAACAGCAGGCCACGAGAGCAAACACCGCCTCCATAGTCGCATTTTCTTATCTAGACGCCCACGTGCGAAACAAATTGCGACGAAAGCCTGTGTGCAGGCCGCAGTTCCTTGCCCCAGCGATAGATTGATGAACTCGCTGTTGGAAGGGCTGAAGGGACGATCCGTATGTTGTTGCATTTTCCGGATGCGAGGAACACAAATAACAGTAATCAGCAAAAACGGCACATCCAAACCCTGGAGTGAGGATCGACGTGGAGCCAACACTTAGAACCGCTGTTCTGTCAGGACCAACCCCCAACAGACATCCTAGGCACCAACTGCATGTACAGCGCTCTGCAAATCCTGTTGGTTTGCTGCCAACACCCAGGCAAACAACAACACAGACTTGTGTATGAACATCATGGCCAAGTGCAACAAAAGGAAATGCTGCCTGTGCAGTTGTGGGAATGCAATCAAACATGACATCAAAGCAATTGGCCAAGGCGGACACGCGCGCGTTCAATCCATGGCTTCCATACACGCTTGTTGACCAGAACCCCTGATGTGGCGCTGAGATGGGCGTTCAAAACGCGCCAAATCGCCGGCATTCCAGCGGCAGCAATCTTGACAGGGACAGCGTCCGTTATCCTTCCACAGCACGTCAAAGGCCTTGCGCACATCAACACTGGCAGAAAACGTGCGCGTAGAAACGTGCAAATGCAACGGTTTCCGTTTGGCCTTCATCGATAAGAGGGGTGCAAACGCTTGAGAAACAACATTTTGAACAGCAGGTTGATGGGCCGATACATCCGCTGCGTCGGATGTGTGCAAAAGTCACACGGTGGCAGAAGCACGACAACCCAGACGATCTCCAAGTGGACCAAGGGATGCCAAGGGCGTACAACAACGGTGAGCATCATCACTCAGGTTCAAGAAAAGAGGTGGCTCACGGAATGAGCCGGCAACCTGTGCCACGCTTGCATTCTGTTGTGTATGGTCACAACTTTCATGCTCATCATGCTCGATGTTGGGCACATTTTCGCTGTGGGCATCATGTTTTTGCCGATAAGCGTTCCGCTCGTCATCGCAACACATGCCTCAGCACGCCGTGTCGTTTGTGTTCTCTGGGTTTCGATTCCCTGGAGCATGCCCTTCTGCAATGCCCCGCGCACACCCTGGCACGCAACAGGTGGCGTCGCCACCCATCACATTGAGGTATCCAGGCCAAAAAAAAGTTCCGATGTCCACCATCAGTGGTTCGCGATCATAGATGGGATGCAACAAAGGACCGCATGCGACATTGATAAATATCGTGTTTAAGAAATGTGCACCTTTCAGAGTGATGGAGCCGTTCATATGTAATCGCACATGTTCACATCGTTTTGCCTGCGCCCTCGAAAGTCAGGCAATCTGTCAGTCAGCCACGTGTTAGATACATGGGCATGATCGGCCATATGGCCGGTCTAATGGATAGGACTTCTGCCTATCCAAAGCGAAAGTTCGTGACTTGTCGACGTCATACTTCTGAAGGCTGTCACCAAACCTGGAAAAGATTTTCTTTATTTCCGCAAGCTTGTGTAGCTAGCCTGTACACCTCATTGTTCCATGTGTGGCGTGGGCGCCCCCGTCGTCGCGGAAGTGCCGGAAGCTTCAATTCAAAACTGGCTGACTGGAATAACACAGCGTCTTTGAACATCAGCATGTGGCAGGCAGGCAAGCTTACCCAACAACAGCAACTGTCGGTACTGCAAAACAGCCGACAGTTTTGCGCAGCATGCTCGTCTCAGAACCTCAGTGTTCGTAATGTGACTGATGAAGGAATATGGTATATGCAAGATCTGCTGCAAACAGCTTGCTTGTAAAGCGTCCAGTTTCTTCAGTTCTGTCTGATGAAGCCATGCTGTGCCGTACATCAACCTTGACACCACGCATGCATCAAAAATGCGCAGTTTCTTGGCGACACTGAGGGACGAACGTTTCCACACGCGACAAGGCTAAAGTCAGCCCTCGGCATGCCAAGTCGACGATTCAACTCATCTGCAATTGAACCGTTGCTCGTCAAAAGGGCACCCAAGTATGATAAGGAATGCTTCATGCCGATGTTTCTTACACGCGGCTGACTGACTGACTGACTGACTGACTGACTGACTGACCTCGAAAGACAGGTCATGAAATGACCATGGGTCATGGTCAGAAACGAAAAATTGAGCATGACGCATATCTCACAAAGATACAACATGCAAACACAAGATATATATTATGATCGTTCTACGATTGGCCTGCTTAGATCATTGCAAACATTCATCTACCACACGCCGCCAATATCATGTTTCGCAAGCAGCAGCTGCGTCGCGCACATGGCCGACAAAAACAATATTATGTAAGATGTCCCTTGCTGTGTTCATGGCACCGTCTGTGCTGCTCGTAGTGTGCTGCCACAAGGACTGCTTTGATACCACGACCATGTGTTGGGTCGTGTGAAACAAGGACACCAAGCGAGCTTTCATTAACGATCTTGATGGTCACCGCATAGCTACCTTTCCCCTGTGGCTTGCTATGCTGCGGGACGCCGCGTGTTGCACGAACCAAAGGGCGAAATTGGGGAAGGAGAAGAAAAGGAAGGAAAAGGAAAGCAACAAAAACGGAAAAACAATTTGGACAAAAATGAGGAGGATAAGACGGAACATGAAAATAAGGGGCGGGAACAACCTAGCGTCCCAGCTGTTCCTGATGCCATTCAATGGCAAATTTCGGTGCAGGATGGGTACACTTTACATTGGGAAACTCAAAAAGTAGGTTGCCCTTTTCAAGCCTTGCGGCTTTGGCAAGGTGTGCCAAAAATCGGCTGTGTGGGTGGTGGGCGGCTGGTCGGCACGTGGAAGGTGTGGTGTGCGTCCGCCAACACGCCTGCCAGTGCCTGTTGCGCGGTCACTGCCATGCCCAGGGGTGGCTGGCAGCCTGCCCTGCCCAGAGTCGGGGTGAAAACCCTGAACAGGCATCACGCGATGACGGTCGCGCGCGCTGGCGGCCTGCGAGATGAAGAGGCGTGGTAGGTGGACGCTTTGGCGGCGAGGCTGCAACCTTCTTGCGC